TATCAGCTGTGTCTACGGGAACATAGATGGCCTCACTGACCTGTCCCGGGAGAGACAGGGCCGGGATGTGCGGGGCAGGGATGTGCGGGCCAGGTGAGCAGCGGGAGGCTCAGGGTGATGCTGGAGGTAGGAGCCAGGAGAGTCAGCAGAACCTGCTCTCTAATAGCGTCGATGCTGCTCTCAGAGACTGAGCTGAAGTGGGATTTCTCGTGCTGGGGAGAGTCCCAGTTGGGTCCCACACCAGTGTCCGGGCCTTGGGCATGCTGACAGCGACCGCAGGGACTCACCCTTTTCTCACGTAATCACGATGTCGAAGTCAGTAGTAGAAACAAGGCGAGATGGGAGTGTGGTGTGAAAAGAACCACCTTCTGTTTCCTTAGTTGGAATTCTCCTCCTGTTGTGGAATTAAGGTATCTTATTCTTAGAATACTGCTCCCCGGGATTGTAGACGATCGCTGCCCTCTCTCCATTCATTCACTCTGTCACCAGCATTTACCGAATAGGCACTGGGAATGCAGAGACGATGAGGTCATGGTCCCTCCAGGAGCTCTGCGGTGAGCTGGGGAGATGGTAAAGTCGATCATTAATGGCACTTGATGTAGGAGACAGGTGGCAGATGGCTGTGGAGGCCCAGAGGGCAGAGAGAGGGCGGGTTTCCTGATAGGGTACATTTGAGGCTGCGTCCTAAAGGGATTCATGGGAAGGAAGCCAAAGAAGTGAATGGAAGTGGGAACCCAGTGGAGCAGAGCGGGCCAGGAGAGGGGGGAGTGTGTGAGTGAACTGGGAACGTGAGAGTAGACTTTCCCCACCGGGGAACCCTCCGGGGAGTCGGTAGCCAGCTCTCAGAGAATCGGGCTTTGTCCAGCTCCGAGATGAAGTGCTCTCGAGAGCTCTTGTTCCTGGATGTCGGGAAGCACTGTCAAAGCTTGCCTGCTCTTCTGATAAGTAAATAAAGTCTTTGGCGCAACCCGAAGGACAGCTGATCCGATTATGTGGGGATTGTTGTGGAGATGATGGTAGTTTAGCTGCTCTGCCTGGACCGGTAGTCTCACCCTGCTTGGTGGGAGAATACAAGAGCCCCATATCGAAGTCAGTAGTAGAAACAAGGCGAGATGGAAGTGTGGTGTGAAAAGAACCACCTTCTGCACAAGAGCCAAGAGCACACATCTGTCTGAGCATTCCAGACACGAGGCTGGAGCATTTGCCCTTTTCCAAATGCGAGTGTGAAGAATATGGTAGGACCCACGGCTTGAAGATATTTTGAATTTACTGCCTCCCACACATGAGTTTCACCTTTAAGCAGCCCAGGAGAAAAACAGATTCAGATCAAACATGAAGACACGGGGAAGAGCAGAGGCCCTGGAGTCAGACGTGGATTTGAGTCTTACGCATGGCAATTAGGGACAGAAGGCTGTTCCCCGCAGTTACTATGGCTTAGGGCTGTCGGTGCCACATTTGTAGAGTGTAGGTATTGATTACCAGGAGGCTGTGAGGAATCATTGACAGACAGACAGGAGACATCCAGATCATTACCTAATAAACATCAGTTTCCCTCTTCAGGTCCATCCTACAGGCCGTTATCTGAGCATTTGCGACATAAAAGATTCTGTGCGAGGTATTTGGGAGAGGTGGGATCAAAGAAGAATAATAAGACCTTCGTTTAGCTCTGAAATAGGGAAGATGTGCCCTGGCCGGGGTGGCTCAGTGGCCCGGTGTCTCCCTGCACCAGGAGGTTGCTGTTCAATTCCCAGTCCAGGGCACATGCCCCAGTTGCAGGCTCCATCCAGTGGGACAGGGGGGAGTGCAGGAGGCAACTGATCGATATTGCCCTCTCACCTTGATGTTTCCCTCTCCCTTGCCCTTTTTCTCTCTGTAAAAGTCAATCAACAAACTATTAAAAATATAAAATAAATAATAAAATCGGGGAGATGGGATAGGCACAGCCCGGGAACTCGGTTGCGCCGGCCTCCTTGTATTCCGGGAGCAGCTGGGCATCTCCTGCCTCCGCACGGTGGCACCTGCTGTCCCCTCCCCCTGGACTCGTTTCTCCTCCTCCTCCACCCCCTTCAGGTCTCTCCTCATCCGTCACCTTCTCAGTGGGGCCTTCCCTGGCTGCTGGCTCAAAACGGACCTCCCTGAGACCAGGACTCCCACCCAGGGGGTCCTCTCTGCCTGTTCATTTGTTTTGCCCGTGACAAGTACATATTTTCCGTGTGTGTGTTCCCTGCCATTCCATACCTCTCCTACCTCTTCGGTGTGAACACCGCTTGTCTGATCGCTTTACTGCTCTATGCTCAGTGCCTAGAGCGGTGCCTGCAGGGCACTCATAAGTGTTCACTGAAAAGATGAGTGGTCAGATGGATTAATTTTAGAGAAAGGGAGGGGCATGTGCCAGGTTCCAGTGGCCAGAAGCACTGACGGGACGGTAGGGTCTGTATTAGCTCCCTCTGGCTGTGGTAGCACATCATCACAAACAGTGGCTTAAAAGAGCACAAGTTCATTCTCGTCCAGTTCTGCAGGCCGGGAGCCTGAGGGGGTCTCCCTGGGCTGAATGAAGGTCCTGGAGGAATCGTTTCCTCGCCTTCTCCAGCCTCTGGAGGCGGCCAGTCCTCCTCTGTCCATGGGTCCCTTCCTCCCTCTTCAAAGCCAACGATGCAGGTTAGGCCCTTCTCACACCACAGCACCTGGTCCCCTCTCCTCCCCCCCCCCACCCTTAGGGACCCTTGCGATTCCTTTGGGGCCACTGGGTAATCCGGGACCATCTCTTTCTCTTAAGGCCAGTTGACGAGCAGCCTTTACCCACTTGCAACTTGATTTCCTGGCCATGTCACCTGACAGTCAGGTTCTGGGCGTCACAGGAGCAGGACCTGTACATCTTCTGATACTCGGGTGGGGGCGGGGGCATTGTTCTGTTTCACAGAGTCCAACAAGTGAGACGCTTGCCCAGAGACTAAGACTTGAGCTGCCAGTCGTGCCGTATAAAATGGGAAAATGAATCGTGAGCGGCTGTGACTGTCCAGGTGTAAGATGGTGACTTCATCATCTGGGAGGGGCCAGGAGGCTGCTAAGGGCTTTGGAGGGAGGCGATGGAACGGAGGCTTGTGGAGATGAACATGGACTTGGAGCAGGTATTTGAAGGGAGATTGGTATTTAGCTTTTTTAAAAGAACTTATTTTATTTCCCTCATCTATTTACAGAAAGCTAGGTACTTATTTTGAATTTTCTGAAAGATGTAGCGTGCACGTACGGAGCCTTTTAAAAACCACCCTATTGTACCACACGTATGCACAACATATACACATAGAGACCCACACAGCCTGTTACAGAGCACACTCACCAGCACACACTGTTCTCATGTGCACGCCCACTGCTCACCCTGCCTGGGGCCTCTCTTCTGTGCTTCTCTGTGCTCCCCGCATTTTTTCTGCCCTGGCACACCTGAGAGATGCGTTTCTTTCCGCCAGTAACAGAGGCTTGCTCTGACAACGGCTCTCACAGGGGTCATTTTATAACCAACCCTACTGGCATGTGAGAACCTCCAGGGAGAGGTGTACAGTTTGCACATGCTGCCCTCCTCGCCTCACCATCGCCCCCACCTGTTGTGATTTGATATAACTTCCTGGGAAGCTCTTCTCTCTACACCCATTGAGGAGCTCTGGATCTCCAACGCCTGGTTTTCAGTGGGGTCCAAGAGAGCTCCTTACCCTGTGATCAGCTTCTCTATGCATCTGTCTAACAGAACTGGCTGTGACGACAGAATCCGGCATCTACCACTGCTAGCGTGGTTGACTCTGTGTGTGTTCGGGGTGGGGGGGGGGGCGGCTCACAGAGGAAAAATAGGGGCCTGCTTGCTAAACAGGAGGACAGACCTTTAGCAAATGTAACTCATAGTTTTGTCTTGAATTGCTTTGAAAATTTTTTTTTATTGATTGATTTTTAGTTTTCGCAAAAGTCAAAATTGGTTCTCAGGCATGGGTGTGATTGTACTCGTCTTCCTTCCCTAGCCTCATTTTGACTGATAATCCATATTGATTCAAGTGTTCTCTCTAGGTCTCCCAACAAATGGTTCTTTCTCTTCTCTCTCTTCCCCATCCTGTCTTTTAGATATAGAGATAGAGATGTGTTTATATTTATGTATCATACTATACCATTCAAGCATGAAAGTGTACAGTTTAATCGCTTTTAATGCATTCGTTGTGGAACCATTATCACAGTGAATCTTAGGACATTACCTTCACCCCCAAAGTAAACCCCATTCTCATTAGCCGTTACTCCCCAGTTCTCTCCAAGCTCTCCCACCACCTTAGCCCATTACTAACCCACTTTCTGTGTGTGGATTTGCCCACCATGAACATTTTATATGAGCGGAACCATGTAATAGGTAGGCCTTTGTGACTGGCTTCTTTCATGTGGAGGCATGTTTGCAAGGTTCGGCCATGTTTCAGTGTGTGTCAGTACTTTACTTCTTTATTGCCAACTAATATTCCATCGTATGGATGTGCCACATTTTATTCATTCATTAGTTGATGAGCATTTGGCTTGTATCCACTTTTTTGCTCTTATGAGTAATGCTGCTGTGAACACTTACGCACAAGTTTGTGTGTGAACATATATTATCATTTCCCTTGGGTATATGCCTAAGGAGTGGAATTGTTAAATGCTGTGGCAATTCTATGCTTAATCTTTTGAGAAACTGCCCGACTGTTTTTCAAAGTGATTGCCCCATTTTCCATGCCTTTCAGTAGCACATGGGAGTTCCAGTTTTTCCACAGCCTCATCATCACTGGATATTTTCTGTATTTTTCACTCCAGCCATTCTTCAGGGTATAAAGTGACACCTCATTGTGGTTTTCATTTGCATTTCCCTAATGGCTATGCTTTGAGAATTGTTTCATGTGCTCATTGGCCATTTGAGTATCTTCTTTGGAGAAGTGTCTATTTAGATCCTTTGCCCATTTTTCAATTGAGTAATTTGTCTTCTTTTAATTTGGCCTGCGCAGGATGCTGATATGCTGACTGGTGATGAGAAAGTGTGGAAGGAAGTTCAAGAATCCTTGAAAAAAATCGAAGAACTGAAGGCACAGTGGAGTATCCTTTTCGCTGTGGGTTGAGTTGTGCTGTTGGGATTGCTTCCTTACTGGTTGGAGCCTGATGTTGATGAAGCCAAGGCCAGGGTTTGCCTTCTCAGGGGGCTTTATCCTGTTCCATGGTCCAGGAATAGCAGGTCAGTAAGTAGTGGCCTCTTTATATGTAAAAGGTAACAATTCCTGGATTGCCTTCCTATCATAACCTACATCTCCAGGAAAGAGCAGCTTAAAATTCTTCCATTCCAGTGCCCTTGACCCTCAGATCTAGAAGCTTCATGTCAAATCAGCAGGACTACCATGGCGGTGGGAGTTGCTGTGCAGTAAACATCCTTGGCATAAATAGGAAGGACCAGGAGGGAGTGGGCCAAAGTTCAGTGTAAGGACAGACCCCTTTAGGAGGGCACCTGGGCAGGCTCCACTGAGGCCAGACTGCACAGGAGATGTCGCGGGGGGACAGGATTGACAGAGGCAGAGGCCCAGAGGGGTCGCTTCCAGTCGAGGAATTCACTTGAGCAAAAACGTGACAAAGGGAAATCACAGGGTAAGAAGCAAGAGACATGGCTGATGGGAAAGATTCCAGCGGGCGTTCAGATGCTTTGCATAAATGCTTCCCAGGCACCAAGACAACCTGCAACGGACGGTCCTGCTCTACAGACACTGTTCTTTACAGAATTGTCAACGACAGGAGAGGGCGTCACACAAAGGTTCCTGTTTTTCAAATTACTTACTCAGAAATGAGTAATTTCTGAAATCTATAGCCCAGTGAAGCTTTTTTGATGTGTATGCCTGTGTGTGTGTGTGTGTGTGTGTGTGTGTGTGGTTTTGGTAAAGAATCTAGAACTGGTTACTGAAGGATTGGAAAAGGAAGCTGCCATCCCCAGGATGCCGCTTGGTTCATTAAGAGCAAGTGAGTCCATAGAATCATGGTTCACTTTGGTAGAGTTTGTAGATTTCGGAAGGAGTTTAGATTGGAAAAAAAAAAAAAGGCCAAGCAATGTATGCTAGATGCTAGCATGGCCAGACGCCTTACCGAATGGTTAACCAGCTACACTGAACAAACGATGCGAATTAGACCACTGTCACTCGGGTGCCTTGCTCCACCTCAGTCCTCTCCCACCTCTGATTCTGGTCCGTGAATGAAGACACAGAACACAGGCCCCTCACATCCCCACTGGGTGTAGACGGGGAGGCTGGCCGAGGCTGGTGACAGAATCAGGTGTTCAAAGAGGCTGGGAATAGTCCTGAGTCTAAACAGATTAAATCCAACAGGAGTGTATATAAAACCTATTTGGGCAAAAAAAGTTCAGGTGTATAAATATACACAAAGATGAGCAGCAAAACAGAGGGAAGAATTTGAGGGTTTTAGTCAATAACAAATTATAATAAAATGTAAGAGTATAATTTAACTTCCCGAAAGACCACTGTGATCTTGGGCCACATTAGTAGCCATAAAGACTAGAAAATGAGAAAGGTGATCGTGGTAGTCTGATCATACCTGGAATTTTTTATTCGGTTTTGGCGAGGACATATTAAGAGGGATATAGAAAAATTGAAATAAGTTTTGAGGAGTGGAACCAGGATATTGGGAAAATAGGCAGATGTGTGAGCAAGAGAGCCATTCTTGGGCTCAAGGAGCTGTTACTCTGCAGAGGACAGACTTGTTCTGTGGGGCCCAGCAGCAGAATTAGGGCCCATGGATCACCCAGCAACACTCAGTCTGACTGGACGAGGCTTTACTGGACTGTGACTCTGCCGGGGGCCTTGCCAGCTGTCACCCACCTTGCGGTTCAGGCAGGAGGAAGACACAACCCTGGAATCACCACTCGCACACACAGGGGGGTCAGTAAATCCATAAATTAATACGTATTTAGGTGAAATGTAGGTGTCACGCATTTTATTGCACTTTGCTTTATGGGCTTCACAGGTGTTGTATTTTTGTTGTTGTTGTTGTTGTCAACCCTCCCCTGAGGATACGTTTCCATTGGTTTTAGAGAGAGTGGAAGGGAGGGGCCAGACAGAGAGAGACACACATCGATTGGTTGCCTCTTGCACACCCAGATCGAGCCTGCAACCCAGGCACATGCCCTTGTCTGGAATCAAACTCACAACCTTTCAGGCCATGGGTCACGCTCTATCCACTGAGCCAAACCAGCTGGGGCGACAGGTGTTGTATTTGTTACAAACTGAAGGCAGGACCCTCTGCCTGCAAAGGGATTACCTCACCCTATTGCAGTGGTCTGGGCCCAACCCGCAGGCTCCCTGAGGGCTGCCTGCATATGGCTGGGGGCATCCACGGATTAGTCAGTGTGGGAGGTCACAGCAGGGTCACAGAGGAGGCCACACTGAGCTGTGCTGGGGGGTTAGCTTGGAGCCCACAGAGGGAGGGACCTGTGCGGAGGCCGTGGGCGCACTAGCCTGCTGCCTGGAAACAGCCAGCTGTTCAGGATGAGAGGAGGGATGAGGCTTTAAGGGCCACGTGCAGCAGGTGGGCTTTATAGGTGAGGGGACTCGGGGGGGGG